GTGACGCCTCTCCTTCTCCCGTAGTGGCCGAGGCGAACAAGTGCAGCTGGCAGGTAAGGGCGGGGGCAGCGGGAGTTGTGGGGCATGGGCCACGAGTGAGGGGGCACTGCCCCTTAATGCCCCACTGTGGCTACGGGCCTGCCATAGGTACTGTACAGGACTTTGGGAGGGTATCGTAAAGTCCACTCTCCAAATCAGCCCTTTTCTCCCAAGGGAATGATCGCTGTACTTTGGAGATTAGCTGAGACCTCAAGGCCCCACCCAGAGATTGACAAACCTATGCCTCCCCAAAAAGAGAGAGTCGGGTAAGCACAAGACAAGTTTCAAGGGAAAGGACTTTCCACAGACAAGATGCCAGTGCTGTGAAAGTCCCGTCTCTAGTCGCCTCCTGGCTTAACTCTGAAAGTTTGGGCGCAGAGCAGAGCATTGCGTGGAAGAGGGTAGACTGGTCAGTCTGGGAAGAGGCTGTGTCCTTCAGGTACCCTGGCCCAAGCTGTTCAAGGCCTTATGGGTAAGAGCCAGTGCTTCAAATATTGCCCAGCAGTAGATTGGCATCTGGTGTGGTTCTTTCAGCATGGGGGGGGATACGATCACTGTATCCAGCCCTCCCACCCTGACTACTTCATTTTGTACCAGGTGGAGTTTCCAGAGGAATGTGTGACAATAATCTAACTTAGAGTAGACTGAGACAGGTGTCATGGGCATAGATGAGGATGAGCTGACCCAGCCTGCAGAAAACACAGCTGGCCCCTCTGAAGCAGCAGAGGGGGATAGCTGGCAAGTGCCTGTAACAGCAGTCTTCACACCTGGCCGAGATAAGAAGAAAGACCTGCAAGCTGAAAGTCCTCCTGACTCACCCCCATGTGTGACTCGGCTAAGGGAGCGACTGGGGCAAAACTTAGCAAGCAGGCGAAGAGAGGCCAGGCTACAGGGGAGACGTTCAGCCAGCCCAGAGTTCTAACAGGAGCCTGGCTGATCTTGCAGCTGGCTAATTGGTAGCAGCACTTAACTCCACACTTTGGGCAGTACTCTTCATGGAAGCAACGAGTCAGCTTTATGCTGCTTGCATCCACTCTGGCTTGGCTCTTGCACCTAGACCTTTGGACCCCCTGGCTTTGGACTTGGCTCTGTGTTCCTGGCTCCTCACCCTGGCTTGGCTTTGGACTACGTTTCTGGTTAGTGATTTGGACTTGGTTCTGTGTTTCTGCCTCCTGACCCCGGCTTGGCTTTTTGGACTTTGCACTGTTGTCTTGGTCCCTGACCTTGGCCTGTTCTGGACTCCCTTTGACTGGCACCCCAGCCCTTGACAATGGGTAGCTGTTTTAGTCTGTTCATACCCGTAGAAAAGAGCCAGAGTTGAGGAGCACCTGAAAGACTAACAACATTTGTAGCAGGGAGGAGCTTTTGTGAGTCACTGACTGCTCAGTTCTTCAGATAGATCCAGATGGGTAGCTGCAGGGCTATTTTTGGGCAGGAACGCACAGGAATGGAGTTCTGGCTGGCTCCCAAGTTGGCCACGCCCAGCAGGAACTCATTAGCATAATAGGCCACACCCAACAGCAGAAACTCATTAGGATTGGCTACTTTAGGGGTGTGTGGCCTAACATGCAAAGGAGTTCCTGCTACAAAAAAAAAGCCCTGGGTTTTGACAACAAACAAGGTAAACAGAATAACAAGCAAAAGGTGGGTGTGGCTGGATGACCACACCTCTGGTAACATGGGGGTGCGGCCTAATGTGCTAATGAGCTGTGCTGGCAGGGGCATGGCCTAATATGCTAATGAGTTCCTGCTGTTGGGTGTGGCCTATATAGATCCAGATGGGTAGCTGCATTAGTCCGTCTGTAGCAGCAGAAAAAAGCAAGAGTCCAGTAACACCTTAAGGACTAACAAAATTGGGGGCAGGTGAGGAGTGTTCGTGAGTCACTGCTCGCTCCTTCAGACACCTTACGCAAGTTTCTTCACAAGGTTGACGGATTTCCATTCTGTATAGTGAGTAGGTAAATGGGGTGGCCATGGGGACAGATCAAGGTGGGTGGCCATGTTAGTCTGTCTGTAACAGTAGAGTCCAGGAGAACCTTCAAGACTAATTTATTTATTTAATTGTATTTATACCCCACCCTCCCCGCGAACGGGCTCACTAATGCAATTTCATAGAATCCTAGAGTTGGAAGGGGCCATACAGAGACCATCTAGTCCAACCCCCTGCCCAATTCAGGACCAGCCCGAAGCATCTCTGACAAATATCCGTCCAGCCTCTTCTTGAAAGCTGCCAGTGAAGGGGAGCTCACCGCCTCCCGAGGCAGCTGATTCCACCTCTGAACCACTCTGACCGTGAAAAAGGTTTTTCTTATATCCAGTCAATACCTTTCTGCATGTAATTTAAACCCATTGCTTCAGGTCCTATCCTCTGCTGCCAACTGGAACAGCTCCTTGCCCTCCTCCAAATGACAGCCTTTCAGATATTTAAAAGAGAGCCATCATGTCCCCCCTCAGTCTCCTCTTCTCCAAACTTTCCTCGTAGGGCTTGGTCTCCAGACCCCTGATCATCCTCGTCGCTCTCTTCTGCACCCTCCCGATTTTCCCCACATCCTTTCTTGCCCACATCTCCATGCGTCGAACCCAGTACTTTTCACTTTCCGAAGTGAGGCCTCCAGAACTGCACACAGAACTGCCACACAATTTGTGGCAGGGGAGGAGCTTTCGGAAGTCACTGCTCAGTTCTTCAGATACAACTGAAGAAGGGAGCAGTGTGACTCACAAAAGCTCCTCCCCTGCCACGAATTTTCTTAGTCTTTAAGGTGCTCCTGGACCCTGGCTCTTTCCTAACCTACAGTCGTTTCCCCTCTGCTTGGCACGCTGCTCGCACAAGTGTCCTTCAGGATTTAGCAGCAATTGCATGGCATTATCATTTTGCATTTAAGTAGGGGATTAGAGGTAAACACGACAGGAGCATTATACTTCCATGGAGCGGAGCACAGCTTCCAACTTCTTTGTACTGTCTTAAAAATGTACTTAACCAAAACATAGCATCATAGAATGTTAGAGTTGGAAGGGACCTTGTAGGTCATCTAGTCCAACCCCCTGCACTCTGCAGGAGCAGAGCTAAAAGATAGCCCTACAGCCTACCCGAAAGATGGTCGTCCAGCCTCTGCTTGAAAACGTCCTGCGAAGGAGCATCCACCACCTCCCGAGGGGCAGTCTGTTCCACTGCTCAACCACTCTTACAGTCAGGAAGTTTCTCCTGATATTTAGCAGGTCTCGACTCCCTTGTAATTTCCACCCATTTGAGAATAGATCCGCTCCAACTTCTACATGACAGCCCTTCAAATAGACCTTTAATGCCTGCACATCCAGAAAAATGTGGACATCCCCTAAAACAAACAAAGAGGAGTTTGTAGCTCTCCTGGTTAGGGTCAGGAGCGGCCCTAAAGATGACTACAACTGGCGTTGCTGACTTCCAGGAGGAGACTGAGGATCTCTCAGGAAGACGGCTGATCTCCGGATGATAGATATAAATTCCCCTGGAGAAAATGGCTGCTTTGGAGGGTGGAATCTATGGAAGAAGAAGAGGAGGAGGAGGAGGAGGAGGAGACTGGATTTATACCCCGCCCTTCACTACACAAGGAAGTCTCAGAGCAGTTTACAATCTCCTTCCCCTTCCCCTCGCATCTCAACAGACACCCTGTGAGGTAGGCGGGGCTCAGAGAGCTCTGACAGAAACTGCCCTTGAGAGAGCAGCTCTGAGAGAACTTGTGACTGACCCAAGATCACCCAGCTGGCTGTATGTGGAGGAGTGGGGGAATCAAACCCGGTTCTCCCAGATTAGAGTCCTCGCTCCTAACCACTACACCAAACTGGCTCTCACCTGCTGAGGCACCTCCCCTCCCCAAACCCCTCCCCCCTAGGTTCCACCCCCAAAATCTCCAGATACTTCCCAACCTGGCAACCCCAACCCCAGCACTGCCTCTCTTCCCTGCCCTGCTCTGCCTGCTGGTTCCACCTCAGCACACGTGGGGCACTCGGCAGTATGCCACAATGTACCGGTGTAAATCAGGGCACGCCCAGACCACAACAGGGATCGTGACATCTCCAATTCCTGGGCAAAGGAGGATGCTTCTTGGGCCAGAAATCGCCTTGTAGGAGTCTCGTTTCTCGGTGGGGGACAGGAACCATGTTGCGCTGGATAAAGCCCAAAGCAAACAGCTGCTTACCCAACACATGTTTAATTTTAATTAATGTTAAGAATCGTAGGTGGGCGAGAGGGGGGAGAGGGTCAGCAAAGAGGCTCTATTTGTGCCGGCGCGTGGGCGAAAGGAGCAGGCCATCGCTATCCTTGGGCCCCCGGCGCTGCGGACGGCACCAGGCAGGGACAATCTCCCCCCGTGCATTTCTTTTTGGGATGGGAGGAGCCCCACAGGTGTTGTGCGTGACCCAACCACAGCCCGAAGGGAGCATGAAGCAAGTTGCTTTACGGAAAGGATCTGGTCTGACCCATCGAGGGTTGCCAGCAAGCTTGGGGCCAAACGTCCTGCCCCTTGAATAGAGTCTGGAGGGGTGGAAATGACCGCTGGCATCGTTCCAGGGGGCAGCCGTGTTGGTCGTGCAGTAGGACAGCTAGATCCAATCCAGTAGCACCTTAGAGACAAGCAAGACTTTCGGGGGATGAGCGTTCAAGAGTCAAGCTTCTAAGAGTGGGATCTGAGGAAGAGAGCCTTGACTCTTTTACAAGCTTCTGCCCCTGAAGGGCCAGTTTGGTGTAGTGGCTAGGAGCGCACTCTAATATGGGAGAACTGGGTTTGATTTCCCACTCCTCCTCCACATGCAGCTGCTGGTGTGACCTTGGGTCAGTTACAAGTTCTCTCAGAGTCGTTCTCTCAAGAGCAGTCCTCAAAAGAGATCTCTCAACCCCACCTGCCTCACAGGGTGTCTGTTGAGGGGAGAGGAAGCGAAGAAGAAGAAGAAATTGGATTTACACCCCGCCCTTCACTACCCAAAGGTGTCTCAGAGCGGCTCACAAACTCCTTTCCCTTCCCCTCCCCACAACAGACAACCT